AGCATTTTGACATTTTGGGACCATTACAGTGTCGTCGGGCGCATCAGAAATGCAGTAATGTGCTCAGTATTTGCAAACTCCTGCTTCACACTTTTATTTTAATTGACATTACTGGTTCATATTATTTCAAGCGACATAACAAGTTCAAAATATTTCAGCTGACAAAACTGGTTCATTTTATTTCAAGTGACAAAACCGGTTGATTTTTATTTCAAGTGACATATAACCGGCTCATCCGCATATGAATGGAAATAAGTCAATAAATGCATAATGTAACTTCACATCCACAGCATAATTTACGTGTGCTCTGTAGATAAGGAACTGAGAGCATGCACTCTGCTAGTCAGTGTACAAAGGATTAGTCAGCACGTAGAACAATATAGAGCATAATCTCCAGTCACTTCTTGTGTGCTGCTTGGCTAGAACATAGCACCAGGCTGGGTGTCAGTTCATAAGATAGCAGCTAATATTTCCCTTTTGTATTCGTTGTGACATTCCTAGGAGAAGGAAATTAATAACAGAGATCCATTTCATAGTCTGACAGATAGATGGCACCCAGGATCTCATGCTGAGCCCCCAGCCATCCGCTTGTCTCCCGGGAATTGAAAAGAATATGAAGCTTCTATCCCAACCTCATGCTATAATTAAGCACATTCACACCGCGATCGCTGGAGGAATCGCGACATAGATGACATGCTTGCATGGGATTCGTTTATTTAATACATGAAGTGGCTGCTTTTCGTGTGTTTAGTCAACATACTTGAACGGCCGAGATTATACAGCCTAATATATCATATGAGAAGTCGTTGTTGCAATTTATGTGATCTATGGGGAATGTGAAGGTCCTGTTCCTAGGAAGGTCACAGATGTTAATAGGACAATGTTCAGAGATTTAAATTATGTACAGGACAGGAGAAGAGGGAGATACAACGCAGGCGTTAATGTATATCCACTTATTAAAGGGACAATTATTAGGGGAAACCCACCATTCATAGTTGTTTTATTACAAGTCCCCTGAATTTATTTGTTATGCCGCTATTTATTTAAATACAAACTGCCAGGAGTCATTCAAATTTGTTATTTATTAGCAAGACATCAATAAAAGAAAAAATACCCGTGAAAAGTTGATGAAATGAAATGTTTACTATCTTCTTCCTGTAAATAATAAAACTAGTTGACCTAGCACAGTAATGTTGTATGGGATTTATCCGATCTGTGACGTAAGCCGTGTACACCAGACCAACAAAGACCACTTGTCCATATATCATATTTTTATTATGGATCTGTACAGGCATTTACAAGCAGCAGCAAATTGAAGATCATAATTCTGTATTCGGCTGAGACAGTCTGTTATTCCGTGATACAGTTCAAAACTGGACAGGAGAAAAGCTGCTGCAGGCGGAAATAAAAACATTCACAATCACTATTATAAGTAGCAAAAAATGACAGTCCTTAAAACTCCATAAAATGAAAAATAATGTATGGAATATGCAATGCTTGATTCAAATATATATACTAACATACAAATAATGTATGGAATAAGCAATGCCTGATTAAAAAAGAACATATATAAAATATATATTGATTTTTTTTTTATGTATAAAGAGTAA